CGGGCTCAAGCAATCCACTCACCTCAGCCTCCCAAAGGCGCAGTATTACAGGCTGAGCCACCGAGCCCGGCTAAGTGTTTATATTTTAATACAGAATTGGAAAATGACAGTTCTTATGTGAACTTCAGTTAACACCTAAGTGGGAAAGATATTGATGAGCAGAGGGTCTGTCCTGTCTTGCCAGAAACCCATTACATTTAAAAGATAGGCTGGCCAGGCAAGATGGCTCACACCTGTAATCTCAGCACTTTGGGAGGCCGAGACTGGAAGATTGCTTGAACCCAGGAGTTTGAGACCAGCCTGGGCAACCTGGACAACATAGTAAGACTGCATTTATACAAAAATAAAAAAATTAACTGGTGTGGAGCACGCCTGTAGTCCCAGCTATTCAGGACACTGAGGCAGAAGGATTGCCTGAGCCTAGAAGGTCAAGGCTGCAGGTAAGCTGTTATCGTGCCACTGCACTCTAGCCTAGGTGACAGAGCGAACCCCTGCCCCCCAAATAAATAAATAAATAAGTAAAACACAGGCTGTTGAGATACTCTGAGATATATAATTTAAATTCAGACATTTTTTCTGAAATGCTTTCAATAACAATTCAATAACAATTATTTTCTTATATTGCTTCTCTGGAGGGTGGAAATCATTTTCAGAAAGGTGCATTATCAGAGTTTCCAGTGGATTATACCTGAAAACACCTCAAAACTATAAAAAGGAGAATCAGGGAGCGTTTTGTCTTGTGGCATGTCAGTTATAAATCCTTCTATAAGCTTCTGAAATGTTTGGAAAATTTGCTATGTGGTTAATTAGAGGTAGGAAAATTGTGAGTTCATAATATCTGATCATATGTTAGTTCCAAGAATCTTTCTTCTTATATGCAGTATCTTCTCGTTTTATTTATAGTTGATTTCTTCATTTCTACTTTTAAAGACATCTCTTTAATTGCTAAAATTGTGCTATTTTATTATAGTTGCCAAACTTTCTGCTCTCATTTTAATAATCAGTAGCACATTTAAGGGAGAAAAGGAAAATGTGACAAATAAACAATATAGAAAGTTGTGACCCCCTCCCAAATTTAAATGAAAAGTTTTAAAGTAAACTGAAGTGGCTGGGCCCAGTGGTTTAGCCTATAATCCCAGCACTTTGAGAGGTCGAGGTGAGTGGATTGCCTGAGCCCGCGGGTTTGAAACCAGCCCAGGCAACTTGATGAGACCTTGCCTCTACAATAATTAGAAACTTAACCAGACGTGGTAGTGCGCGCCTGTGGTTCCAGCTACTTGGAAGGCTGAGGCAAAAGGATCGCCAGAGCCTAGCAGGTCAAGGCTTTGGTGGCCGTGAGTGTACCACTGCACTCCAGCCTGGGCGACAGAGTGAGATTCCAACTCAATAATAATAATAATAATAAAGTAAACAAAGTAACACACATTTAATTGCTGTAATTCTCACAGAGTGGATATTCTAGATGTTATAGAGTCATTTAGCACCTAAGCCTCCAGGGACAGCTGTTTGTTTTCATGTTGAGTGATGTTTGAAGACTGAACAAGGGAGTGCTGATCTTCTTCAATCTTCAGTTTCCTCTCCTGCCTTTCTCATCCTGTTCCAGTTGACCACTGAGAAACACACATACTATCTGACTGCAGATTCTCCCAACATATTGGAAGAATGGATGAAGGTGTTACAGAATGTTCTTCGAGTACAAGCTGCCAACCCCCTTTTCCTGCAGCCCGAGGGCAAGCCAACTGTGAAGGGGTTACTCACTAAGGTAGGACCCTCCTGGGCGTAGCAGTGTCCCAAGCAACTACTCGAATCAGCCCCACTGATCAGGAAAACTGGGTATTGAAGAATGTATATGTTGAATATTTATATTATCTTGGAGTGAGGAAGAGTGTTTTAAGTAGGATGCCCAAGACACAAGTCACACAGATGAAAAATGACAAATTTGAGTATAATATATAAAAATTTAAAGGCTCCATAAAAAAATGTGTAAGCAGAATTTTAAAAAGAAGGGTGAAAAACTTTGGGAAGGTATTTGTGAAAACTGGTTAATATCTTTAATATTTAACAAGGTTTTTTTACGCAGTAAGTAAAGAATTAGCACCAGTGGGGGGAGAGAAAAAGGATACAGGAAATAGTAGAAGCAGACTGAATTAGAGACAGTGGGGTTGAGAAGGAATGCGAGTGATCATTGAGCATGTGGGAAAACATTGTACGATCGCTAATTTTTTTTTTAAAGCACAAATTGAAATAATGGGTGCCACCGTAAAAGGTCTGGTGAAAGGTGAGACATTTTCAAAGATGTTGAAACCTAGAACTGACACAGATGAAGAAATTTGCTTGTGAGAGTATCACTCTGGAAGGCAATTTGGCAACATCTTGGCTGAAGTGTTAACTGTGGACATTTTTTAACGAACAAATTAATAGAAAACATTTAAAAATCATATACGTATATCACAGTATTTGATCCAGCAATCTCAGTTCAAAAGATTTATCCTTAATTTGCAAAAGATTTAAGTATGAAGATGTCTATCACAGCATGTTTTTTTTAATTAAAAAAAAATGAGGTATCATTAATATACTCTGAAATGCACAGATCTTAAGTGTAGAGTTTGATGCGTTTTGAAGGATATTTCCTGTTACTCTACTAAGATATAGAACATTTTCATTACCCCAGAAATATTCCTTGTACAGCACGGTTCATAATAAAGAAATTGAGATCAACTTAGCTGTAGGGTGAGGTATAGCTTAAGTAAATGTTCATATAATCATATAATGCTTTACTATGCATTTTAAATGTAAAAGAATAGCTAATGCTATGGAAATATGATATATTTTGGAGTGATAAGTAGAGTTAAGTTTTACATTGTTATCCCATATGTGTCATATGTATTCATAGAAAAATGTCTGAAATGGGAAAGATACCAAGGCATATTGGTTATCTCTATGTGATTTTATTTTTGCTGAATTTTGTTTTCTAATTTTTTTTAGACTATTAACAAATGCTTAATATTATTTTTAAACATTTTAAAGTCTTATTGGCCACTTTTAGAAAAATATAGTGAAATATTTTCACATACATAATCAGTCATCACTCATGTGTTCTGATTATGTAAGAGGTAAAACATTTGGATGTAAAGGAGCTATGCTGCATATAATTTATACTTAATGTGGGGATGTAGGCACTGCTATTCAGTAATATTTACAAAGACTGACCAACTATAGCAAAGGTAAGAGATAATTCAATGCCACATTCAACAGAGATGTACCATGTTTCTTCTAAAATATTACATGACTGTGAAAGTGTTTTCCGGTTACTGACAGGTTAGGGAACCCATCGGTTTTGTGTGAGTGTATTTCTTCAGTGAACACAATGCTGCTTTACATCACATTCTTACCATAATTCATAGGCATGAGCTTTCCTCTAGTGTCAAGGACTATGTGTCTCAAACCCTGAGTGTTTAATATGATCCCATGGCTAAGTGTTTGTTACTTCTCCCATAATTAGGATCTGGGTTTGTTTCCTTGTGGTTACTTTACCAGCATGACATTATCAGTTTCTACTCATACTGCCTTTCTGTGATTCTCTTCTTTCCATTTCACAAATACATTTTAAATGAGTATGAGTCGATGTGGTTCTCCGATGACTAAGCCATTAGGGTTTATAGACAGGATGCTTATTAGGTTTGCTTCCTACCATTTCTGAAGGCTTGTCCACCTCCACATTTTCACCCTCAGAGCCATAGGAGAGAAAAACTTCCCTCAGTTATTCTGAGTGACTTGTTCTGAGCTCACATTCAGGCTACAATTTGACATGCTATAGGTCAGCATTTGAATATCTTGGAAGGCAGGATGTTTTTTCAGGTTGTCACATTGTTATTATTAAGTACAGAATTACATAGGTAGATATTAAGAACTTGACTAATTTGATTCAGGATATTCACTCTTGCAATTTTTATCTTTTTTTTTTTTTTTGAGTTGGAGTCTCACTCTGTTGCCCAGACTGGAGTGCAG